ACCTACCTATACATACCTATATACATACCTATGTACATACCAATGCATACAAATATATGCCAATACATACCCATACGGCCCATACATACCAATACATACTATTACATACTATCTCTCTCATTGCGCGGTCCAGGCCCGACAATGGCATATGTGTCACTCTGGGCACAATATGCAGGAATTCCCCTGCACAAACAAATGCACAAAACATCAAGACAACACGTCCACAATGGCTAGCTTCGACCACTCCGCCGTGCGCCCGGCACCAGCCTGCAAAGTTGCGGCAAGCCGAAATAGACACTCATTTGTAACACCCACAATTGCTCCTTGGCACAGGACTTTGCCTTCGAATTTGGAATAGCCTGGTTGCATTTTTCCCGGAAATGGCTGGCAGTTGTCATCTTCGGGTAGCCATTGCAAACATTGTCTGATGCGCATGAAAATGTCATGGACTGCAAGTTCATTGTGATTTGTCGGGCGGGAATTGGCTGTGTGAAAAGCCAGGGCCGGTTCACAAAAAAACAATTATGGTGTCCTTGTGAATTTTCCACGTCAGACCACGCAGAAAACTGCATATGGTCGTCCAACAATGTTTGGAGTGTTTCCAGCGTTTTGGCACTGCCATGTCAATCAATGGGTACCAAACTGGCATCCATTTGTACAATGTATGTGCATCATTCCATGGCCACTTGAAGGGCAAAAACCGACTGGCATTGTTTGCCGACTGGCGGTGTCTCTCCTTTATGTTGTGTATTTCTGTCCCTCTCAACCTGCAAGGCACCAACAGATGCCGTATCAAGGTGACAATGAAGCTTCGTGAGCCACTCCTGATGCCAGGGTACTGCAGGAGGAACAAAAATTATACCGGCGCATGAAGGAGAGCTTGACGTTTCGCTTCAGAGTCCGCTTTGCGGTTCAGTGTGATGTGCCTGACTGTTGTACCAAAAACTGCGGCTTGGAGCCTCTGTATAAGGGCAAAGTCTGGGATCTTATCCAGAACGTGAGCCGGAATCCAAGACACTTCACACGGAGTATCGCACACTCGGCGGCGCTGTTGCCACAACAGGAAAATTGACTTCCACCAGTGAAAGCAGGACCAGTGAGGCTCACTTGCACCATGCAATATGATGTGTTGGACATTTCCAGCACCTGCTTTATTGTTTGTATAGATGTGAACACAAGAGGGGTTTTTATCGGCAAAACCCACGCAAATCGCCCAAAGCTCAGGTACATCACCGCATTAAAGCGGCATGGCAGACGGGACCCGAGGAAACTGTTGGGGCCATGAAACGGCCCCATCCGTCCAGAGATCGAATTTCGCTGATCGGGGTCAAATCTGGCAATTTCAATATCCGCGGACGTTTGCCTAAGTCTTGTCCTGGCCATTACATTGCAGTGCATAACATAAACATAACATACGTAAGCTGTCCATGGGGGTGACCTGCTAGGAAAAAAACAAATATATATATATATATGTAGAGATCCCGCTGGGTTCACTTGAGACAGTGGGCGTTTCGCACTGCTTGAGACAGTGAGAGCTTCTATCAATGCCCATCATACTTCAGCACATTTTCCTAAGCAAACAAATTCTTAGTTGTGTAAGGCATTACAAAATCTAGGCGGGCTTTAAGACACGGGTGTGTGCAAGATGACACGCCCCAACCCCCCCGTCAGATACACATCACAATGCGCGAGGAACCCTTGGAAAAAATAGGACTCGTTCTGAATTCAGATTTCGAAGTTCCGCAATGTCCTATGTAAAAACGACGAGCTTGCGCGAAATCAGGGCGCTGTTGTCGCGCAAAGTTTCCGAACAGAAATTTGCAAATTCACAAAATATTATGCATATCGTACTACTGGCACTGTCTTAAGTAAACCCCTTTGGGTACGGTATATCTATTTTATATCATATATGATTATGCGTGTGTGTTTTCCGTTGCACGTTGGCACAGTGCCAATGACTTCGCCTGTGTCGTTTCTCAGGAAGCGGACTCAAAGCCAGATGGAGGGATGATGAAGAGAGTCTCAGCACTGTTCTACTGGATGTATGTCAACAAGCTAAGCAGCAGAAGTAAAACGTGTTGTTCAAAGGTGTATGTAATGTCACCCGAAAAGTTCAACGTTGGCAAACACTGGCAGCACAGGAGTAGTGTCACAGCCCAATTTGCAGCAGAAGAGCTTGAACAGACCTCTATCGATGGATCGGTTAAAAGGCGGGCGGTCGTTTTTTCAGCTTGCACCGAGACATGAGGCTCAATCCTTGCAGTTTGTACTATGTACTCATTGTCAGTTTGTTGTTTGATGTGGCCGTGAAACGATGTTTTGCATAGTTGACAGTGATCAAATATGCCTGTGTATGGCGCCTAAGTGTATCAAGAGCAAACCGGTCTCAATTGCTTTTACTTTCAGATCTAACGAAAGCAGCCCATGTACGCCATTCAGGCGCCGGTGGAGGAAGCAACTCGGTTGGGTTTCACGAGGCAAATGTTGATTCTGAAGCGCTGAGGAAGAAACTGACACGTTTGATGCAGTGTTATTATCCCTCCGCCAAGTGCCCATTTCCGGGCGACGAGCTGTGGAAACTGACCCAAGGTTCAGTTGAGAGATTGAAAGAAGCTGCAACCCTTGCGGACGAGAAAGACAGACAACAAGGGGCATCGGATGAAAACTGCCGCATGACAGCATTAGTCAACCATTTTAGTTTTCAATGAACATGTTGCCATGTTGCTGGGCAGCCAGATTGGAGCTCATACCAAATATGTGATCCAAAAAGGGTTTTGAATTGAGTGTGGTTGACTCGCAGGCTTCCTTCGTTTGCATGTGTACCGGCCCCAGCATCAAGATCTCCAATGAGTGCAAAGAAGACGCCAGACACATCCAGTCACCGTCACCAGATATGATAGGAAACGCTGCCGCAAAGATCGAGGGCAGCATCAAGACCTACAACAAAATTCTACATAACATCATGGTTTAGTTTATTTGATATTCACAAAACAGAGACAGATGCAAAAGGTGTTGCGAAGGGTTTGTTCAGAAGCTACTCCAGCTCCATCGCTTTAAGGCCACATTATGTGGGGCCGCCATCAAATCACCATGCCAGGATTCCGACCACCGCCTCAGGCTCCTTTGGCGATGCTGCGTGCGCGGCGCTGCATGCATGGCAGCATGCTGTCCAGTCTGTTGTCCATGTCCCCGCCTAAGCCAGGTTTGGGGAATGATCATGGAAGTGTTCATGGGCTGCGATCTGACGGAGGTTCGAGGCCCAGTGCTTTCGGTGCTCGGATATTTTGTGGATTCCATAGGGCTCATTCGTATAAAGATTGTGTCAGTGCCCTTTTTATAATCTTTTTGAGGGGATGGGGTTTTCATTTGACATCCCACGAATCCTAGCATGTTCTGTATAGAATCACATGAATCACGATGTATTGCCTTTCGCTGTGGATCGGCTGGTGGCCAATTAGAGGGTGGCAAGTGGCAGTTGAATAACACAATCAGTCGTGCAATGAAGTTCTTCTTTGATGGTTTTGAGGGCTTCAGTGGTTCAAACAGGGTCCACTCTCGTCAATCGGAGAAGAAACAACATAAACAGAAGAGAGAGGGAGACAGATGGAGGACAGGTCTGACATTGCTGTCAGTGACATCGCTTTGAACAACTCGGACATCCACAAACAACCACTCGGCTCATTTCCATGACGTCTCACGTGGAGTGAACCTCATGGAAACGACTGAGGTGCACTTGGCTCTCCAATGACACCTCAGCACCCGTGGGAAGCCAAAAAGCTGATTTCACTGGCTGTGCCACAGGTCTAGGCACTGCTCAGCGCGGCGAGCCGTTGAGCAGGGCCGGCTCCCGGGTCCTCCCGGCAGAGCTTGGACAAGTAGGAAACGCCCAAGACCGCCGATGAATCCAATGATCAGCACATATGTCCCAGTGAACATGAAGACTAAGACAGAAGTGAATTGGTTCAAGAACTTCATGCATCATTTGTCCAAGCTTTGCAGTTCTGTTGGGCACCTCGCCGGGCAATGCGCAGTTGGAGGGGAATTGGATGCTACAATGAATGTAATTGAATGATGCGATGGATATGAGTAGATTTGACGATCATACAATCATACACGACATTTATGCACAGCGTCCTCCAGACCTTTAACACAGATTTGATCTTTTCTGCAGCTGGGATATTGCGGAGGCAATTCGAGCCGCAGATGGATTTATGCATGTTTTGGGGTTCGCAAGCTTGGGCAAAGCCAATTCAAGGTTTTTCGAGCTGTACGTAGGTTCGATCATATTGTCAAATATAAAGCATTCTTGTCCAGCACTCAGAGCATGCAAGTTCTATCGATCTTTTTTGGGGAGATCATGCCGTAGCTTGGCAGCACTGGCAATCACGCCGCACAAGCTACTGCCTAGTAATTACTTTAGATAGATGAGACACATCATCAGAGTGTTGACAGTGTTTGTCAAATGTTGATTTTGCCACAAGTTGTTACATGAAGATGTGGCCTGCAACTGCTGCATTCTGGCTGGGAAGCCATCAGAGTTTTGTCGATTAGATGCAGGGGAGGCTGATCTTGCCTTTGGGTGCCCTCCATGAACCTTTGACACAAGGGTTAGTTGCCCGGGGAAAGATCCCATGCCATGTGTCAGCACAAGATCAGACAAGATTGGTTTGATTGAAGGGCACCAGGTTGTTTGGAGTGATGGTTGATGCTGAAGGTCCTTTAGTGCTGATCACTCTGCCCCTAGAGGTCCTGCCGCGTTTCTCAGTGGTTTCGTGACAGAAAAGACAGCCAGAGGAGGAAACCGGAGGAAACCCTCTCCGAACCACGCGTGCTGGCTGAACATGTATCTACGGAGCTTGGACAGAACAACTATCACATCTTTGGTCGCCCAAATTCGGCTGAGCAGGCGAAGGAAGGCATCAAATCTGTATGCAGACATGTTCCTAACTGCCCGTGCCGCCATCCCAAATCTCGTTTTGGCACAGAACTGCAACTTTCAGGTGAATCAGCGAGACTGCAGTTGCGGGAGGCACGACATTTGATGAGGTCATGAGAAGGTATTTGGGAAGTTTGTCTCTAGTGAAGGCCACATTTTACGCAGGAAGGTCATTATTCCTGGTGTTGTTTCTGGTGTGTTTAGACCATGTGACCGTGTGTTGTTCATTTGCTTTGGTGGATTCTCAACCACGTCAAGCAATCTGCATGTTTTTCTTGGGGGGCATCATCAGGCTGAAGAGGCTATCCGGGTGGCCCAAACAACGTCGTTGTCATTGCGTCGAGCGCGTCAAGCCTGACACTTATACTTTAGTTTTGCTGCCACTAACTGCTCGGTAGTTGACATCGGGGCGCGACAGTTAAACCAATAGTAGATTAAAATCAAGTTGATGTTCTTCACGCAGGCTGATGTCGTCATGGGGGCAGTGGCAAGAGCCGGATGGGATACTGAAACATGTGCTTAATATGTCGGACCCTTCATGTCAGGAGTTGGTGACCAAGGATGTTCTTGATGGTGGCCGGGCAACCTGCGGCCCTTTGCAGCTAGCAAAGGTGCCACTACGAGGGAACCGACTGGTTGCGCTGGTTGTGGCTTCATTTTTTGCAGTGGCGAGTGTCCCTAAAAATCTAGAAACCAAATCATTTGTGCGAGCGAGCGCTTCTTGGTCATAGAGTGGGCACAGCTTGGCAGAACCCAGATTTCAGTTGGACGCGTTTGGACGCCTAGGAGATTCATGTAACAAGAGAAGGGCTTGCTGCCTTTCTGCCGCCCCTGCTTCACATTGCCTTTCCGCAAGGCCTCTCTAAAGCAGAAACAGCAGCAGCTGAAGCTTCTGCGTCTCGAAGCGCAGTCCCCCGAGCTTTGGCTGGGGCCCATGTGTGTGTTCAAAGTTCAAGTTCAAGGGGACTGCGGCGAAACACAATGAAACACAAAAGCAAGCTAAGTCAATATTTTGCACTGACTCGGCTCAAGACTGATTGCAGGATTGAGTGGATTAATTTCAACGACCTTGATAGCTACCCAGTAGCCCTGTGAGAACGAACCCAAGACTGAACTTGTGTTTAAGGCCTGATGCTGTGAAGAAGTTGCATCGCATCTTGCAACCTTTCGGAGAAGAGAGCTTGCTGCGGGACATCCTGATCTTTCGTTTGCGCATGTCTGAGTCTAACTGCTGATGTTTTCCTGCCTATAGGGCCTGTTCCCTCCCCGAAGCTTGAGACTTGAGGACTTTCACGGCGTTGTTGTACTTTGATGCATAGACGTGACCGAATAGATAACTGACTATATAGTTCATGTGAGTTGCCACCTCAACTAGCTGTACCGTGAGAAAGCATCCTGCCAACTGCACGAACTGAACAACGTCAACTAGCATCGCGCGGATGATCAACGGAAGGAAAGAGTGCGGCTCAATTAGCCCAAATTGGCCTCTCCAAAATGCACCAACACCAATGGATGTGGAAAACCTGTGCAACCATACTGTGACATGTGACGGATGGTCAAGGTGAACAGGTGGTTGAGGATGCTTGAAGTGTCTCACGTTTAGATATCGAAACACGGTCACCGTGAAACTCCGCTCGGTCGCTGTCGCCCTGTCGCGGCCGCGTTTTTTTCGTTCTGGAGGATGTTTTGCTGCGTTGGTGCCACGTGGCACTTTGGTCTTTGAGGCTTGGTGAATTAGAGGCCACAGATCACCTCACTACACTTTCGAAACAGCATTTTGATACCTGAAGGAGAAACAATCTTCGCTTGGTGTGTGTTTCCTCCAGGCGGCTTTCAAACGAAAGAAGAGCCCAGGATGGAGAGCAGGCGATGTTTTGGGCCTCGGTGAGGTGACAAACTCCACCACCCGCAACACATGCCGATCGGCATTTGTTCAATTACCTGGCCAAGTGCAAACTGGATATGGAAAAGACATGAAGAAACTTTGCATGAACAAACCAGTTGACTGCTTGACCTTCAAAATCAACGTCCGCCCCAAACCTCAGGCAGACACCATGGAAGTGAGAATCGGTCCCGTGGCGCTCCTGGAGAGTGGAGACCCAGCTTCAGCTCCAAGAGCCCCATGAGACCGGCACCGGACATCGTCCCGTCCCAAACCGAATGCATTTGTTGAAGAAATCCTAATAGCAAAAGGAACCTACATTTAAAAACATTATAAATGGTCTCCAACCTACTAGCAAACTATAGTAGGCCTTTGTTTCTTTCTTTTCATTGTGGAAACAGAAACTCATCTTGATCAAGATGTTGACGCTGAGAGGCATCGTTTCTGTGAGAAAAGCACCCTAAGTGCTTTACTGCATTTGGGACTAGATGGAGGTTTCTTGATCACCGCTCGCATCTTTTTCAAGCATGGATGGCAAATCCGTTTTCATGCAGCCTTTGCAAATCCTCGGTCATACAAATGCCTTCCATTTGTCATCAAGCACTGCGCTGAGGCTAGTCCCGCAGAACTTCACAACTTCCACCGAGGCCAAGCTTTCTGACTTTAGTACTTGGGCGTCTTACAACTTTCCTAGGAGCAAGAAGCTACTATAGGCTACTGTTACTAGTAACAAAGGGCATCGCCACTAGGAGCAAGGACGCTACTAGGGGCTCCTGGCCCTACTGGGAGCAAGAAGCTAGTACTTCAATTCTTCAGGAAAAACTTGAAGTGGTTCTTGTTGCACGAGTTGACCAACAAGTGCAGAGGACAGGGTTCACGAGGCTATGAGGAGCCGACGGGTCGACCTCAAAGGACGTTTGCGTTTTGCAAGGACGAGTAGCCAGCAGGTTCAGGGCAAAGCCGCGTGGCTGGAGCATCACTTCACATTTGAGGCAGGTTCACTTTTTTGATTCTTTGCTGAAATGTATTCACCAGCCATATATAACTTATTATAACTTGGCATATAATTCCAAACGATGAATTGTGAGTGTTGAGAGTGTGGCTTTTCTTTGTGTGTGTGTTTCTCCGAAGCATCGTACGCTTCATTCTGGCAGAGGATTCCAAAAAAGACCCAGTTTCCATCAGTTTCCTAGTTCAATGAGCTTGGCGAGCTGCAGGCCCTTTCTTGGAAGTCCACCTTGGAGTTGGAGGTTCTCTCTGTAGGCGGATAGACACACAGCTTCACTCTGCGGATCCGATGCAGCCGACGTTTTCAACCTTTGCTGAGGTGATCCTGACTCTCTCGGATGCGGATCAGTGGACTTCCTCTCATTGACCCCCGGCAAGTGGCACGTGCTGAAGGAAGCTTATATAACTAAGCTTAACTGTTACAGACTCGACGGCTGTCCAAGATGGAGAACTTGAGTTTGCGATAGTAATACTATCAAGTCAATCAAGTGGATGGTTGAGGAGGTGCTTGTTTGCAGTCAGGTTAATAAGGTAAGGGCGGACCCCAAATATGCCCTACAAGGATTCCGGGCAAAGCCTCGTTGAACTACTGTGCGAAACGAATCTGGGACACAATCCTTTTCAAGTGGAAGCAGGAACGCATTTGGGGAAGCACTTCTGGCTGGACACAGCCTTAGTCATTTTGCCTATGTGTTTTTTGGTGAAGTCATTACCTTTTCGAAGTTCCAAGGCTGGAACTCTGGGCCTACCTCACTGTGGACCGTGGGGCTCCCAATTCCAACGCGTGTTTCCTCATCCGCCCCTGATGCTCCCTGGAGAGGCCCTGCATCGCCCGCAGAGGCCGGGATGTGCATCGTGGGTTCAACGGAATGGATCCCGGGGGAGGAATGTCCTGGCATTCAGGACGCGGTACAGGCTGATTTGGTGCCGAAGCCAACCCAGAGGCAAGACCCTTGTTTTGTACCGGCACGCTGGTAGCACACAAAGGGAAAAGCAGAAGCGACTAGCTGCTATAACTGCTGCGTCTTCCAAACACACACATGTCATAGATGTATTTGCATAATATTTGCATCTAGATGGCCTCCGACTGCGCCAGGGAGCTTCAGAAAAAGCACTCGGAGGCCGGTAAGCGAAAACACGTGCCATGCGGAGACGTAGAAGCCGGTGAGGGAAGGCGATTGCAAAAGTCACATGGAGGCCATCGCTAGTAGGTTGGAGGCTATTGCTGAAAGAAATAAATATATAGATATATAAGAAGCTGCTAGTAACAAAGGGCATCGCAGGAGCAAGGACGCTACTAGGGGCTCCTGGCCTTACTACTAGGAACAAGAAGCTACTAGCCTCTTGCGCGAGTATTTTCATTTTTATACTCTCGATGCTGTGAGACCTCAGGAGCTCGTGCGCGATGAAGTTCCTCAAGGGGGACCCTCACGACCTGCTGCTAAAGGGATGAGCCAACGGGTGCGCCAGCTGAGCCACGTTTTTTTTGCAAATGATTAGGTTTATAAGGGAACTGTTGAGAAGTCGCGGAGGCTGTTCTTCTTGGGCGTAGGCGTCGTGTAAGCATTTTGCGTAGGTGCGTGTTGAAAGATTTGCGTAGGCAGTCTTGCGTAGAGTTGTTCAAGGGTCTTGGGGAAAGATAATGTTGGCTTGTAGTTGTTTAACTTGACACTTGCTTGCAAATTCCAGTGGGGAAGGAACATGAAAATGAATTGTAACGACATGGCTACAGTGGATGTTTGAAGTTTGTTTGTCGAAGCTATGGGGGCACATGGGTTTTTGAGGTCAAAAGCTTGATCGTGCTTGGTCTGGCACACCGGCTCTTGAGCTACAACTGTGCGCACCCTGTTGGTACCATAATCAATGGACCTATTTTCGCGTAGGCCCAGCGTAGGCGCTCGCGGAAGCAGCGCGTAGGCAAGAAGCTATTGGCTGCTGCTACTGCTTGGCTGCTGCTTTTGCTGCTGCTTTTGCTGCTGCTTGTGCTGCTGCCTCTTGTTTTCTGCTGCTTGTTGTGCGCTGTTTATGTGCTGCTGCTTCCACACTGTAATTGGATCGGATTGATACAAAATCTATCTGGCCACCGGTAGCAAAGCTGCAAACGCCTTGTAAACAGGAACCTGATGTGACCCGGTCGCATCGGGCCACTACTTGCGGATTATATAGCTCTTTTCGAGTCACCTGATGTGACTAAAGTTGGTGACAGTACCCTGCGTAGGCATCCCGCGTAGGCACCCAACAAAGAGAACCTCTCGCGTAGGCATTTGCTTGAAAGGGGAGCCCAGGCGTAGGCACCCGCGTAGGTACAGACCCAGTGTATAAGCCCCACCACAAAAAAAAAACACAACTCAGCTGGGGTGGAAAAGCATCAGCTGGGCGTGTCATTTTGATGGACCCATTTGGTGCTCTTGGCATCTTCTTTAATAAGGTATGAAAACCGGAGGATGTGATGAGTAACTCTTCGCTTTTTTGTCAAATCCAATGGCCATTGCCATAGCTTCACCAAAGCTCTACTGTATCAATTCCACTATTACACCGTTGTCAGGAGGGGTCAGGTATACGTCCCAGCCACTGAATTTCATGCACAACAGCTGCAGGAGCTCCAACGGCAAGAATTGGAAAACTTGCTGGAGGACCTCTCGGATCAGCAGAAGAAGGAGGTGACTAAGTGACCTGTAGGGACCTGTAGGGACCTAGTGCTTGGAGAATTCGAGTGAAATGGTGCTTCGGTGATGGTCGATGATGATATTTACTCCCGTGAAACTTACCGTAGAACATGGGTCTCAAAGCAAGTGCTTATAAACATGGCACACATTAAACGGTGACCTCCTGGGGAATCAGGAATGCACCGGTCTTTGGAGAGTATGTGGTTTGGGGGAACGAAAAAAAACTTACATAACATAGAACACACCCATGGACAGTTCTTGCACTGAAGCAGCAGATGCTAACATGGATTCTGCCTGATGGCCAACATAGTGCTACATTGTTGCTCTTGCAATGTTCCATGTTAGACTCAACAGCGTTCGACATTGCCCAGCATTTCCCCGGCTTGTTTCCACAGCTTTGCAATACTAACAGAGCTCCAAATCTACTTAAGGACACACACTAACCAAATGCAGCCTTACTAACACTGCACATGGATTGCACATTATATAGATGTTAGATTTCACCGGTGCACTTCCTTGAGCATCGCAAAGTTGATTTCGGCTGAATTGGATCCTATCAAGAAAGGCTCCGAAGGAGGTCTGAAGTTTTCGTACACAAGGGGAGACACACGCATCGAAAGCATCATTTGAGTGGTTGGAATTAGCTTAGCGATGCCCTGAGGTTGTTTCATCTTCTTTCTTGATTAGGGTTCGCACATTTCCGCACAAGTCTTATTGGTGACTAGCGCTGAAGCATCAGAGATTACACCATCGCCTCCATTGATAGCAATTCTCTTGCGGATAGTGGAATGAGCGAATGGTAATTCCCTCTCGCTTTCGTCCAAACAGCGTCTCGACATAGTGATGAAGGGGCCGAAAGGGTTCAATTGCTGCAAGGCCAAAATGAAATCGCTGGAGACTAAGATCGCTGAGATGCAGGCCATTCTGAACGCTGCAGTCTTTCTCTCGTGTCTCTCTTTTCTCTCGCGAGAAAGACATCAAACTCCGCGAATCAAACGAGTTGATGTACAAGCACGTGTATGTAAGGCGCAGGCTCATCCTTCCTATATCGACTTGAAATTGGTAAAGACAACGTGACACATTGGATTCACAACTAAGCTGCAAACAATTCCTGTGGGCAGAATGCTCAGAGACATCCAGAAATTATATACAGTTTTAGTTTTAACACCAAACAGCCCTGGCAGCCTGGAAGGCGGAGCTTGAAGCTATGAGATCTGCTGATGCTCAGCTGCAACACCTGCGAAGCTAAGCAGGTCTTGAAGAGTATCTCAACCATGGTTGCTATCCATTGTGTTTGCCAATTGAAAGATCAACGGGCGTTTGTTCCTTCATATGCAATAGCGATAGTCCAACCACGTGCTTTGTCACACATATTTTGCGATTCTTGCCGCGGGACAAATTCTTTCCTTGCATATTGTTTTGGTTTAAATCAGCTGCATTTAATCATAGTGTTGTAATGATGCACAGCTTGGGAACTGAGGGCACGTCAGCGCGGCAAAAGCGAGATCAGTCGCTCAGCTGATATATATATATATACTTCTCTTCAAGCAAGACGACAATGATTGCACCACGTTGCAACGGCAAATGCATTGATTTGCAGAAAGTCCTGAGCAAAAGCACACCATGCTTGCTGAGGAAGCGCCTCGAACGTGCGGCTCTTCAGTTGCTAATGCACCTGTTTACTTGAGGTACAGTACCCTGAATGAATCAGGCAATGGTGATATGCACAAGAGATCACAAGAGTATACAATGCTACAGTACTCTACTGATTGTTTAGTTTTGTAGGCTCTCTTTGCCACTCTTCTTTGGTTGCCCCAATTTGCTTCTCGGAAGAGGTCATGGAAATGCAAATGTGGCTGGAATTGAAAAGTTCCGATCAGCTGGAAAGAGGCTGGCCGGCCTTTTGCCTACGCATGCTGTCAGAAACATGAACACATAGAATTGAGGGTCAGTGCAATTTCAGCTCATACTGATATCAACTTGCGTGGGTCTCTGGAGATCAGCCAGCTTTGACCAACAGAGAGTTTGGCTCAACCTAGCTGCAATGCCAATAGGATTCATCGGCCGATTCGCGCTGATTGCCTTTGAATGTGCTGGATATCCATTGGCTCCGCGGCAGACTTCTGACAAGTGTCTTTGTCCCCAGCATGAAGGCTCTGGATGGAGCAGCGAACAAGATCGCTGCCTGTCCAGTTCGATCACCTCGTGCTTGGAGTGTCCCAGTCAGCAATGGTGCGCGAAGCTGAAGGATTTAGCAGGCAGTCGGATGGAAAAGAAACAGGTCATCACCATGAGATCCTGTTAAATGGAGTTATCTGAAACATTTTCTGGTCTATTCACGAAAGGTAGCCTGGTAACTATCATCACCCACCTACCATAGCATGACGTCCCTGTCTCAAGTTTCCCAAGTTATTCCATATGTCATCACGTTCCCATGTCATGTTTTCGATGGCATGGGAAGGCTGGGGACCGGCGCTGGAGCGCAGGCGATGGTCTTCAGATCTTTTGGGGCGATTGTCGCAGCTCCACGTGCACAGCAGCCACAGAGTCCTCCTTCGCATTTGCGGTCAGCATTGCTGTGGACCAGGAGAACAATATCTTCTTCACAGACTCCGGCAACAACCGGATCCGTGGCTGGTCCAAAGGGCTTCAAAGCATCGCTTAGGTCCTAGGTTTGATTTGGAGTCACTGAGCGATGGTGCCGAAGTTCAGAGGAATGAAGAAGCAGGGGCACCCCAAGTTTGGTACTTCCCTGGTGGCACAGCTGCGGAAGCAGAGACCAATGCTTGTCTTAAATCCAACACATTGACAAAACAAAGTATCAGATTCAGCAATGCACCTCGCTGTTTTCATATATGTGCTGTGATTGCCTGGTTGCTTTGAGGGCCTATGCCTGACTCGGATATGCAAAAGACAAAAAGGGAGAGTATAGCCAGTTAACCTAAATCAAAGGCACAGTGGTGGTCGCTTTTACATCAGTGGGGTCGCTTAGATAACTGCAGTTTTCACAGAGTAAGAACGGCTGAACTTGTTGGGTGGTTGAGTTTGTTTTGCATCGATTGCGAATCCTGTCAGTCAACCACTTCAGCGGGGAACCCTTTCTTCCAGGTGGCTCGCCCCCTGTCGCGACACAGTGAAGCGCACCATGTGCACGATTGCTTTTCCAAACGACCCCACAAAACTCCAAATGAGACTGCAACCCCCAAAAGCCAACACATCCGAAAATCGACGCAAAGATAAATGAATATCCCAACTGTTCTCCACCCAACTTGCAGTTCTCCGTCAGATGACACCTCAGGCATGCTGGATGCAAAGCTGAACGCCTTGATCACCATCGCTGGTACCGGTGAAGTGGGCTTTGCAGGTGATGGCAAATTAGGCCGAGATGCCCTGCTTCGACATCCCGAGGGCTTGGCCTTGAAGCCCAATACACAGGGGCAGGAGGCTGGGGCACAGAATTTGGTTCTAATGATCTAATCGAACCATCCAGATATATGAGTTTGTGTAGTATATATATATACCGAGAGAGCTGCCTTCAAGGCTATTATTGTTTATACAGGCTGCATAGGTATGGACACCGCCCAATACGTTTTGCATGGGCACTTGTGCCGTGACTACGATTGAATGCGTTTTGGTTGCGTTGATTTACGCACCTCTGCAGCCATTTCTCACTGTTGCGTGCTCCAATTCTACCATACAATCATACACATGTCACACGTCTTTGAGAGAGACTGGAATGGTAGTGTTTGACACCGTAGCCGTAGCCTAACATAGCAGCTTACTCACTCTCTATGGTGATTGCGGCATTTTGCGGCACTATGTTGTTTGTAGTCAATGTTCATCCTTGTTTCTCCAGTTTGCCATAACAAGGTCTACTCATTCGTTCTGACTTCTGACTGACCATGTGAGAGGTCTACTTCTCCGACTTCTTGAATCAACGGCTGCGGAAGCTGGTCAAGAGCGAGAGCGGAAGCAGCGGAAGCGGACTGACTCAGTCGACATGGCTCATCTATACGGTGGCAGGTACCGGAGTCTCATGGCTTAAAATCGGCCGTTGAAGCCAACCAGCGAAGCACATGGAACTTGCAGTTTTTTGGTATTTAGGAGAATGGAACTTTAATGCTTGGGTTGCTGACTGTGAATCTGGGTGCCAAGGTCATGGCAGAGGACACTTCCTGCAATGATGGCTGTGCATCTTGGCAAAGTCTTTGCGCGTTTTACGGCCGATGCTGTGAACGTGCATCACTTTGTTCGTCAGAAACCCTTTTGTTCTCCGAAAGTGCTTTTGTGAGACTCATGCCGCGGTGAGTTTGGTCAAGTCACACCCTTCCACAGATGTTTCTACTCGTAGACCATCAAAGCGACTGGCAGATATGCAACTGCAGAGGTACCTTTGGAAGCGAGCCTTTGGAACCCAAGAGCTTTGGCATTCGCCTCCAACCAGGAGAAAGCGCAACAAGAGCATTGCTCCAAATACCGGCCCCCCCAAAAAAGCTCCATAGGTACAAAAGAAACGCATAATTTATCCATAAATGCCGAAAGACGTAGTTGAAGTCGTTTCATATCTAGTTGGAGAAATCTATAGTACATGACGTAGCTGAAAACCTGCGAGTAAATGTTGGGCCTATTCTTCTTGGCACGTTCTCACTCTTAGATGTGTATAGCGCTGTAATATTGTGTATAACCGTTTCAATAGAAGCTTACAAAGACAAGAATTTGATGAGCATAGACAAGCCACATGATGAGAAGCAAAATAGTTGGCATGCAGCATACCATGCCGCCTAATCTTAGAGTTCTTTCTTGTTTAACTTTAATGGTTGGCCTGCTTCTTTGAGTGCTTCCATTCAGATTGTTCAATACCCTTCGCGGCGTAAAGCAATGTAAAGCAGTCAATGCCTTCTTGTCGTCCTGCCGAAGCAGGATCTCTACTTTATCGAGTCTGGCAGCAGCAAAATCTTGAGACTGTCCACAAGTCTTGGCGACCCCAGCCTTTCCTCCAACGCCACGCTGATCACCTTTGCAGGGCACAATAGCAAGGTCTCACCCTATGGAAGCTTGTCGAAGTGGTGTTACGGTCCAAGACGGGGATCCGTGCACGGCCTAACACGGCCTGGACCATTTAATGGTGAATTTGCCGAGGTTTGTCTTTGTTCAGGGAGTCAAGTCTATTTCTAATGCTTGGATCATGGCAAGGTGCTAGACATGATTTGCTGTGCAACTGCTCGAAGCCAATGTGTTTTGAAGCCAGCTGCTAAGCAGTCCCACGCGACGCACCACAGGATTTTGGCCCTCCTTCCGTGGCTTTGCCAAAGTGGCACTGCCTGGACACTACAGTGTACCCAATGCCAACTTGGCAATCAGAGACTTGGAGAAGTTATGAGGAGTTCCAAGCTTGACATGGTTTGTTGTGCATTGTGTGTATAATATATATATATATACATATGGATGTGTGTGTGTGCGTGTGTGTGTGTGTGTGTGTGTGTGTTTTTATCTTTTGTCCGGTGATGCATCAACTATGATTCCATTGTGCGCAAACATATTCAAACCAGTGGGGCAAGTATATGTTCAGTGGCATGACGCAATCCTCCCTTTGCTGCCACACCTCAAGGATGTAAACTCATTTTGTGAGATACCGTTTGATACCTGACCAAACGTCCCTTCGGTCAGGTGGCATGTATTCCATCGGCATTGACCGCAAAGACCGACTGTGGCTGGTGGACAGTGACAACAACCGCATTTTCATGCTACCACTCACGAACGAAACTGACACAGAACCTTGGAGTAAATACATTGGTGGGTGGCTGGTGGAGCCCTGGAGGCGATTGCCTGGTGGGGCATGGGGCATATCTTGCCCGTACATGGGGTGATTGTGCGACCACTTATTTTTTCACGCACAGTGCTTCGTTTTCCCTTGCGAAGCTTCAAATTGACTGAACAGTGAATGGAATCAATGGACGAAATGAGCTCCGAAAGGAGCTACCGCATAACAGTGAATGGAATCAATGGACGAAATGAGCTCCGAAAGGAGCTACCGCATGTCATGACGAAGAAATTTGGCTTTGTGAATTGTTACGCAAAACGATGGGCAAGCACTAAAAATGTTCCATACTTTTCCACCAGGTCCATGCTGGTGTAACACCCGAGGATGCATGCAATTCACTGGAACATGATGCCATTCGCTCTCAGGAGCTTCTGGGGGATTTTGGTCGCTTCCTGGCACGTTTTGATGCCTCTTTCTTTGTGGAGAACGTGAGCACGTACATCGAGCGACAAGCCTTGCGTGCATCACATGCTGAGGCGGCTTTTTTGCTCGGTGCGATAGCGTATCGGATAGCGTCCTTGCTCCTACTACTGATGCCCTTTGTTCCTAGTAACTAGTAGCTTCTTGCTCCTAGTAGTAAGGCCAGGAGCCCCTAGTAGCATCCTTGCTCCTAATGGCGATGCCATTTGATGCTTTTCGCCATGACTCTCATGACTCATGACTCCACCAATTTCTTGGCAGTTTGGAATCTTCAGGCGCTAAAGCTATGGCTTCCCGTGGAATTTCCAACTCGGAATCTTTCTCTCAAGGTGGAATCCAGTGCGGAGACTCTTGGCCAGATCTTGGAATCAATTCCTGCCTGGATTTGAAGATTTGGAATCTTCTGTCAACCGGGCGTGCGAGGTGTTTGGACCTGTAGGTCCGCCTGTAGGCTTTATAAGGCCTTGAAGTGGCAAGAAGCACTTTCGCACAGAATCTGCCACTCAGGAGATTTCAGTATGGCTACAGTAGCCTCGGTCGAATTGAGTATCGTTTTTTGTGCCAAGAAGGTGTTGGCATCTCGGAAGAGCTTGCTTGCTTGCCTGCTTCCTTCCTTGCTTCCTTGCTTCCTTGCTTCCTTGCTTGCCTG